TGCAAGCTTGGATCGATAACAAAACTTTGAGTGATCAAATTGAAGTTTTGCGCGTTTTTTTGACAAAAAGTTTTTTTTTGTATTAAAGGTAAATACTTTCACTAAAATTTTTTGCTATTCTGGACCCTTATATTTGCTCTTAAGTATTTTAATTTATAATCAGTAAAAGGTAAGACAAATTTCAAAAATCTTGAATGTTTCATAGACTATAACTACGGCGCCCATCCGTCATGTATTAAACGGGACAGTCCTCTTTTTACCTCCCTTTTATTAGCTCGGTATGTAACTATGTAATATTGATGCGCCTGAAAGATGCAGCGATTTCTATTCTCAAGTTACATACCTGATGACAGTACGAATGGAAATTATAATAGCGAGGTTTTAGTTTTTTAAACTATAATTTTATTTAACCAATTGTTCTGGTAAATTATTTAGTTTATACGGGACGCCATCTGTTCTGTATTTCTTTTAATGTCCTGTATTTGTCCCGTATTCGGTGTTCGGTATTTTAACGCCATAACAGCTCATGAATAATGGTGTTGGTATCAGTGTTGTCACTTCAGAAACCAAATTAGTGGTAGATTATTATAAAAACAGTGGGAGATCTCTAACAAAGTGTGGTAGGATATTTGTAAACTTTTTATTCGCCGAATTACACCATTGCCAGGCGATATTTCCTCGATGGAACTCTGATTATCTACTAGTGTATTTGAGAACAAACATTAGTGTGATGTAAACAAGTGCAATAAGTTTTTAAGTGGATATATATTTAACTCATATGAAAGATGAATAAATAATACAAAAGATGTATAACGGTGTGTACGTTTCTAACAAAAAATTTCGCCTTTTCACCTCTCTTCGCGTTCGATTCTAAAATAAAGGCAAGGTGAGAAAATTTTGTGTCCCTTTCTTAAAATTTCACACTTTTGTAAATCAAAAAAACGCACATTATCTACCCTTTGAAGCTTTGTCAGGGGAGATGGTTACCCCGTAAATCAGACGATTGCTTAAAACGCTGATATTATAAAATGCTTGAGCTGGACAAGGAGAAGAAGGCAAAGACATACCCTTTTATAGGGTTGAGTGTAACATCAAACACATTTTGCACTGTCAAAGGGCACCATTTTTTGGAAGAAAATAATATCACAATGGCACTCGCTCAACTTTTGTTTCCTGTGGAAATGTATCGCCAGAAAAATCGATTCGTGTAAATGCAGCTTTAGACTGGTTTCCACTATGTCGTATTTTGTCAACAAATTTTGGCAACATATTTTGAAACAACTTTATCTCCTTTTCCCATGCCTTTTCCAAGTATATTATGGGCCAGCAACGGACACATAGTCAACTTAACAGCACATGTACACGACTGAAAACCTATTCTGATCTAAGTCAATCGATAAACCGTTTTTTAGTTCCATTTGACAACGTGTTTTCACTTATTTGTTGATAAATGCCACTAAATTTGTGAGTGAAAACCAGCATTTATACTTATGTACGCAATAAAAATTTTGAAATGCTTGGCAGTACCTTCACCTCTTGAACTAACACAATATTCTGATTTTTAAATTGATATTTAGGAGAAAATTTGCTGTTCAACTTTTATGAAAGCAGCAGTAAAATTGTGGTAGATTTTTTAAATATGTGGTAGTTGTGGTAGAAGTGAAAAATTTCCGAAAATGTGGTAGATCTACCACAATTGTGGTAAAGTGGCAGCACTGGTTGGTATATGATCGTAACTTTCTCCATAAACTGTTATTATTTTATAATCTGAGTGCCTGTGATTCGAATCGAGGAACACATACAGTGACCAAAAAAATATAAATTAGGACTCTACATTTTAGAAAGGCTTGGCTATTTTTCTTTGTTTAATGTTTATTATTTTTTATGAAAGTAAAGCTATCTTCCCAACAAAAACTATATAAATCAAAATTTCCGACTTTGTGAAAAAATTATAAAAATTAATTCTGTAGAGTTTGAACGAAATTTCAAACTTTTTAATCATAATAGTTATAAGATCATTTGTTTGCAGGTTTGTAGCTCATTAAAATTGAGTATAATAAAGTGCAAGGTGCTGCTCATGTGCTTCCCTATCAAAGAATTTTCTTACATTCTTACTTTGTATGAAAAAGATGCGTAACACCGTTAGCAAAAAATTGCCAAAAAACTCCCGAGAAAAATGTCCAACAAATGTATGATGTTACTATACGGATGCTGTTTCATGGCTAATACATCTAGGGTCATTGAAGAAGGTTTTAAGATCTGTTAGCCTTTGTGGAAAAAATTAGCAAAATTATTTTTTGTCCCATATTAGGCTCCTATAAATATGGTTACCGTAACTATAACTTACCAGTTCGGCGTAGTTCGCCTACGACAAAGCATATAGGATGAGCGTACATAATCACAGAACAGACCTAGAAAATAAAATCTTGCCCATTTTTTGCCCAAAGGCGTCTTTTTTCAAATTAAGTGATATATTGCACGAGGAGCTTTATGAAATTTGCTTGAGTGAGATAAAAGTGAAAAGCTATAATTTAAGATATCGTCACTAGACATGATATAACTTGAAATTTGGCATGCGTACTAAGAAAAACACAGACTTCAACATGGATATGGAGAAATTGTTCTAACTAATGTAAAAGGGGACTATGTAGTTATAAACTCACACAGTGATAGTGGGAGGTCTAGACGAACAAAAAATTGTATGGGGATGGAGTTACAAGGTTAAGAAGGTGATCGACAGTAGTTCTAGAAAAAACTTCTCACGTTTAAACGAAAAACCCTAATGAAAAACTACCTATGGAGCTTGTTTTTAGCCAACTGTATCAGCTTTTTAAAAAAAATATTTTGGGGGCAATTTTTTAGTTTTTAGGAATATCTGAGCATTATAAAGTTAAAATTTCAAAAAATTTTGACCCTTGTTTTTTTGGCGGCTCTTTCGTTATAAGAAAGGTCCTATTAACTTTTTTTATTTTTGTTTTTAATATTTTTATTGAGCTTTGAACCATGATTGTTAATTAGGAAAAATTGAAAAAGCAACAAAGTCTAAGCGGTAGAAGTTATGGCAACCTGCGTAATCCATGTTCGAAGTCAGAAGCGTTAACCACTGAGCTATGTACATCCCGTAAACTCTTGTTGCTAATTCATTTTCCTTATTCAACCAATCCAACTCCAACTTGTCTTTTTAGGGATAGTCGGCCATTTTAGTATATAAAGGTCAAATGTTTTCGTTTTACTCTGGAATAGTAGTTGGAACTAGTTATTCATAACCATATGGAAGCTTATGTTCTTGATAAAAATCATGCCAAATCAAGTTCATAACTCTCGAACTTTGGCTAAAATTAAGTTTTGACATCCTAGATTTTCAAAATCTCACACTGTGCGCCGCCGACGAAAAGGCTAGGTGTGTTTTATTTTAATTCTATCCATAACTAACCGTTTATGCATCCATAATGCTTATGTAAATGTAAATATACCATTCAAGTCCAGTTTCCGACCAAGAACAAAAAATTAAAAACAAAATTTTTTTTCTAATTGCGGCCCCCCTCGGCAGGCAATAGCAAACCTGCGAGTGTATTTCTGTAATGAAAACAGCTTCTCATAAAAATGTAATCGCCGTCGGCGTAAAAGTGTAGGTCCCTCCCTGTGCGTGACCAGATCTGAGGATAAGCTAGGTCAAAACACTAGCATGTATGTAAGCGCCAAAAAATTATTATTATTAAAATAATGTATACCAGTATATTGTTGGTAGTTTTTGTCGGGTAAGATTATTAAAAAAAACAGATTTTTCTTAATTTTTTCAATTTTGGCCATCGCTAATTTAAAAAATTTCTTTTAAAGTAGCCAAATATGTAGAATTTATTTAAAAGTTTAATTATTTTCAAATAAATTGATACCTTAACTAATGCATTTGCATAGAAATTGTGGAAGTTTACCAGTTTATTTTAGTAAAAATACGGCCTTGAATTTATACATACATACATGCATACGTGTGTATGTACCGGACTTTAAGATTTTTTGGAAAGTGTGACAGTCAATCTGTTAATATTTAGATAAGAAAATAACTATAAGAAACCTATTTTCATTTAGGTACACTAAGTTTCGTTTCGGGTGTATTTCGTGATTTCTTTTTTTTTGTAGCACCGTGCTAGTGGTTCAATGAAATATGGTTAAAATTTGAAATAAGAAACATTGAGCAAGTGGCTATGCGGAATACACCAAGCACTAATTAAAGAATCAGACGCCTGAAAAAAGAAGTAAAATCATAGTTGTGTATACATATCCAATACGTGATGACAATTTTTTTTTTTACGGAAAAAATCCTACAGCAGCTTGAAAATCGGAAAAATGTATACCATTATTCATTTTCATTGTTTTTACAGTATCGTAGGGGTTTGGGTTAACCTTTCACTCCCTCTCAAGCTCTCCATCGCATGCGCCACCCTTCGGAATGCGCTTAACCTTGACATACTTACCCAATACGAGTGTATACCTCGAACTTGCGACTGCCACAGATTCAAATACAACCGAAGAAGTGTAAATGTGCTAAAAGCCAACTGGCAACGAGTGAGAGCTGCGGAATTTGCTCTTTAACGCGCAAACACTCTACGGTAAGCAAATGTGCAGTAATGCATACATTTATATGTTTGTATATATATGTATGTGCAAGTATATAAGAAATATAAAATAGGATGTGAGAAAAAGTTCTACAAATTGAGTGCAAGCACATCTCCCACAGAAATCTTAACCTCGCATGACACAATTGCTGAGCAGTGCGCCAGATTCGCACTCCCACCCTCTGGGTGTACACACCTAAAATAGGGGTGAGAAAAAGTATCGCCAAAAAAGATGAACAAGCAAAAAAAAAATAAACTAGTATACATTTCATTTTACATTTACATGCATATATTAATCAAAAAACAATTTATTATAATAGTTTTACTTCATTTACGGTTTGTATGCAGAAATTTCAACTTACGTTTTGGGTGAAGAATTATTTTTGCTTAATTTATGTTATTCGGTGTACTTACCTCATTTCCGATTGTGGTGATTTTTACACCGATTTCATCCTTTTCCAAATCGTGGGTGATGACATCGCCTGAAGTTTCACGCCCATTATGGGTCAGAAACACTCGTTGACCTGGTTGCAAATGAACGCCCATAATAGACCGAAATCCAGGACCTATTAAGTCCGACTCGCGAAACTCCTTTATCATGGCGTTACGACGCAAAGCTTGCGCTGGACTTAAGTGAGCGCTAATTGTGCGACGTGCCTCCATTATTATTAGCGTCTTGGACGACGATAATGGTGATGAGTCCAAAGAGTTTTGCATTGTTTGTGTCTTAAAATCGAAGCGTACTATATACTTGGTATCAGCAGTTAAATTTGTACCACTGTTATTAGATACAGCGTTGTCACTATCGGCCAATAGCGACGACGACGTGACAGTGGCAGTAGGAGGCGTTTTTACGTCCTGTATAACGCCAGAATACCAAAGACCATCAGGTCCAGGTGCACAAACTTTTGTACCGATAATTGAGCGTTTGGCTAAACGGCGACCAGTGGACATGGTTTTTTGAACAAAAATAATATCGAAGAAACCGAAAACAAAGATCAAAGAAAGCAATGGGGACAGAAGAATAGCACTAATAGTTATACACTTCAAAATTACGCGGTGAGAGGATTAGAGGATTTATATTAAACGATGCACATTGCGCTTGTTGCGGCCATTGTTATCTTAATAGGCAACTTTACTTTTGTACAAATTAAATGATTGTCGTCAGTTTTTATTCAAATAAAGCCGATTCTTATGTATTACTTTTCGACAACAAAGTTTTTATAATTTTGTATTTAATATATCTCTGCAACACTCCCTCTTTGTCACAAGATTTTATTGTACATACTTTGAAGTAGAAACGATCATTTGTTACCTCATTTATTTGAATTTTCTGGCACCTTTATGATTTTCCATTGGTTTGAAAACTTTTTATATAATTTTCTGCTGTAATAAAATACTCCGTTGATGGTGATAAACAGAAAAAATTTGTGCACGAGAAGGATACGAGTATTTTATTTGTATTTTGTATGTGTAATTTGAGTTTGTTTATAATTTGGTACCAAAATATTAACACCCAGTTACATTAAGTGCGCTACTCGGATAATTTATGCTTGAACGAGGAAAGTAATGTAAGGAGATATATAAATATTCTCCGGTAAAGTATTATTTTAAACGTGAAATCTTAATGGTTTGGGTTATGGATGCACACAAAATTTACAAAATACTTCAATCGCTATCCGAATAAATGGAAGCTATTATTTCACAAATTCTTTTTTTCGTTTAGCAATTTCTATTTTTGCTTAAAACTGTTCACTTTGTGATTCCGAAATTTATTTTACAGTTTATGAAATATTCTCACTTGGATTTCATCATCATTTCATTTCACCCCGGTAGTCTCATTACTTTGCAACTCAAATTTTTTAACTTTTCACAATCACTAAGTTTCCATAAAATTTTTGAAATACAAATATTCGAATTGCTTTGTTTTGGTTCAAATTTATCTATAAACATAAGAAAATGTAATAAAATTATCTTAGTCCGAATGGCTGCTCAATATTTTTAATTATCTTTATTTTGAATTTGGGTTATATTAAACATCGTGAGTATATTTGTCTCTCTCTCTCTATCTCTACCTCTCTCATTTGCGCTGGGTGTCTTAATCTCTCGTGTTTTATCTTGGTCTTCAGCAGGTTACTAATGTTGAAAAATTTTACGTAGTCCAACTGTGTCTCCAAGTACTTGCCTACGTTTAGAGCTATGTTTAAGAGTTTCGACAATATCTGCAAAAAGTTGCAATAATAGTAATGCAACATCAAGTTGTTGCGACTTTCCGATAAGTTCGTTAGTAGGTTTTGAACACTTCTGAATTTGTTGTGTCTGTTGTTTTGCAAAATTGTTTGTACCGATATTTTTATTGTTCTTTTGTATCAGTTCTTCTTTTAAATTTGGCTGTTGTGTGGACGACGATTGTATGGATTCGCGTGATAAAGAGGCGGCCGCATATTTGGCTTCACTCATAACATTCGCCACTTGCTCGACTCGTTTCGTCTTAAGCGTTCTCTGCTGTTTCAATTTATGCCTTAGCATAATCTACCGATTTTCTTATAGTGTTGGTTAAATCAACACTTTCGACTTGAAAACTGCTCCGCAACAAAAATCAGAGCACTTTTCGCCACAAATCAGAACAAACAAAAAAGCACAAGGTGTCTTACAACGAATGAAAAAAAAACGTTGAGAAATACCGATTCCGCAAAAATGCACTTGCCACTGCAATGTCAAACCAAATTAAATAATTTGAGTAGGTTGTTCAGTGTTTAAAGAAAAAAGCAATACAGAAAACGGGTTGTGTAATTTTTAGACTTATTCTCCTTTTTTGCACTCAAGGCAAAACGTTATTCAAGTTCAGAAATATTGTTTGCACAATTATCGGTGCTTGTTATTGCTATTGTTTTTTTTTTATACTTATATTCGCAATGTTTGTTGTTGTTTTGACATTCACACACAGACGCTCGTTTGTCGGCCGGCTCGGCAATACGAGTATCTTGGAAATATGCACTTGTTTGCTATTGTAATTGCTTTCGTTTTTTATCTTTTGTTGCCTGTATAGAGGTAGTTTTTAGATTTCACTTTGAAAATCCAAATACGAACACTTCTACAATATTTTGTAAAAAATGTGTTAATACTTCGCTTTAATTAAATATTTTTTTATATTGCTTTATTCATAGGGAATTACTTAAGCACTTAGCACAACTCGCAGTTGTTCTTTACGGAAACAGTGTTCGGAGCATGTGAATTTGAAATGATTTTGATAGCACTATATTCGTATGTTGGTTCGTGCATATTTAATTTTAATTAAATTTATAGCACTGCGCGAGTTTTCGAATTGCACTTAATTTGCGTTCATTGGTAAATTTCACTTGCCCGGCAATATGCAGCATTATTTACATTCCCTCTTATCAATCAGTCACAACGAATGCACTGCCAATTCGAGTGCGTTTCGGGGATTGGTAGGTAGGTATACCCTTATCTTGAAGCTCAGTTAGGTTGTCAGCTGATTAGTCACAAGGAAGATTGAAAATGTGTTGTAATTCGATTTATTCTCCAAGGAATTTGCATACATGTTTTTGGAATCGTATTTGTACAATTGGAGGCGGGAAGCTCACACAATACGCTTGCTTTTCACTTGTTCGAGGGCGAAGAAACAACACTTATCGTCTGGACACGAGAGTTGCCTATCAACGACTGAATTCATCGAACGTGAATGCTGGTTTTCAGTGTTGCGTTGTTACGTCGTTTCATGCTCCAATGTGCCCGGCAGCGGGTTGCCTTGCCGTGCGAGCTGCTGTAGTATATTTCATTTGCTCAGCGCTGTTATGCTCTGCTCTGTTGGATCGCGACGGCGGCGAGGTAAGCAAAAGAAGAAGGAACCAGAAAACATAAACTAAAACAGAAATAGCAACTGAGCGTTAGAAACAGCCCCATCAACGTCAGCAATGAAAACTGAAAACAATAGAAATCAAAACACCAAAAAGCCATACATATGTACATATGTATGTATGTAAATACATGGATATGTATGCATAAAGATGTGTATCTATATGAATTTATGAAAATACTCGAAAACATTTGGCAAGCAACTCAACATAAGAGAGGTAGCACTCTCCCAACTAAGAAGACTGCAGCATATACATATATATACATATATGCTGGCACATCAACGATGCAATACAAAATAAAAAGAAAAAACTACTTAAATGAATCCTAACCAATCCCACATTCAACTTCATATCTCACAGACTGGGCAATACCAGATACTGCGTCGGTTCGTTCTCTTTGCCACCTGATTCTGATAATTTCCGGTAGTAGTCCCCAACGCCACCACCACAACAACCAGTACGAAATTATTCGCTCACTCTCTTTACACTCTCCCAGTGCTCTTACAACACAAAAGCAAACACCAATATCTGCTTTGGCTTGTATCTACCAGCTGTTCAACAAAATACCTTTTCTACGACCTACCAAGAAACCAACCAACTAAGAGCAGTTGAACAAGAATTCTCGCACTCACTGCCAACAATGGCCAACTGAAAGGCATTGTTTATTTGGTTATAGGTCGTTACTGCATTGAGTATATTAATAAAAGTGCACCTGTACTCGGTAAATTCCCATTCCAAGAGATACATTCTCATAAACGATGTGCTTATACCACAAATTTATATGTTTACGTAGTTCTGTGAAAATATGTATGCATGCATATAAAGTCTAACAGTATCTATACTGTCCTAGTGTATGGAGTAAGCGTAGCGGGTGTAAAGAACAAAGAAATAAACTGAGTTTGAACATTTGGCAAACCTGACAAGACCAGTGCAAACTTAGATTAGATTGTTAGAGGCTATGCACTACGACCTTAGGTCTATTGTGCAAACTTAGAAAGGCGTCCACTTCGATAACCTATAAATAACAAAAGTTTCGGTATTCGTATAGAAGTTCGTGCATACTGTGGATGCAAAGAACAACCCATGAACTAAGGCCGCCGTCTCATTTCACCTGGGGTCTAAATTCATTTTCTGAATCCCAAAATAAATTTTGTCCTCGCGGCCTAATTTTTACACACCTGCCCTACCGTAGTCTTGGAGATCACCGACCCGCACGTAGCCATACTCAAATTATGGGTGAAACACTTTTTTAGTCTATTTTATGGCAGCAGCACTAAAGAAGTGGAGAAGTCAAACCCGAACCCCCAGTCAATGAGGATGGAGTCAATGTCCCACCGCCTCATTATGATAAAGTTACTCGGCTGAAAAACAAAGCTGCTGGAGCATGAGAGTGAATCGCCTTCCCTAAAACCTCGCTTGGTCTCAAGCGGCGCGGAGAGGTCCTTCCCAATTTTGACGTAGCTGTAAGTTGTGCTCAACGTAACTCTACATAGCCGTATTAGCTTTGCGGAGATCCCAAATTTAGACATGGCATTGTACAGGCAGCTTCTCTTCGTGCTATCAAAAGCAGCTTTAAATCAACACAAAGATGGCGTGTGTCGATTTGCCTATCGAGTGTCTTTTCCAGAATTTGTCGCGCTGTGAAAATCTGGTCAATGGTTGACTTACCAGTTCTGAAGCCACACTGATAAGGTCTAATCAGTTGGTTCGTAAAGGGCTTCAGCCTTTCACACATTATAGTCAACAGGACCTTATATGCAATATTATGAAGGCTTACTACGCGATAATTGGCGCAAACGGCGGGATCTCTCTTATTGTGGATTGGGCAAAGTACACCGAGATTCCAATGTATTTCATGTATTCTTTAAACCAAATTCTGCTTGATAGCTGGTACATGCGCTTGACTAGCTCTTCGCCGCCGGCTTTGAACAGCTCTGCTGGAATACCGTCGGCTCCGGGGGCCTTGTTGTCTTTAAGCCGCCATATTTCTGTTCTCACCTCGTCTTGGTCAAGTGGAGGAACGTGAGCTTCTTCCCTATGCATTGATTCGGGTTCTTCTTCTTCAAACACGTCACCTGTGTTGCCATTCGGAAGCGTTGAGAAGTGTTCCCTCCAAGTGTACTCTGGACATCTGTTACAAAATTTCCATCTTCTCGATTCTTTATTTTGAATAGACGTCCCTGCTGATCTCCCGGCATCGTTAAACTGCCGCTCGCGTAGCTATTGTCTGCTTGGTGGCTTTGTATACTCCGTATTTCTCTGCAGCAGCCGCGCGGCAGTCTTCGTCATACCTGTTCCTGCTCGGGCGGTAGTATCCCACTACCTTTTCCGCAGCGGCACGAAGTGATTGGGAGATGGATTCCCATTGCTCATTTATATCCGGTCGTTGAAGAGTTTCTTGTTTAAGAAGGACTGAGAGACGATTGAAAAATTTCTCAGCAATCTGCTGTGAATACAGCTTCTCGACGGCGAACTTTCGCCGCGTTGTCTGATAGACGTTCATCATTGCACAGAGGCGCATGCGGACCTTGGCTGCAACAAGGTAGTGATCCGAGTCCAGAGATGCCAGCCTTATATTTTTCGAGGACATCCAGCAGCACCTTCCCTAGAGGGTCCGGACATTCCAAGTGCATGTCCGTAAATCATAGTCTTTATTTCGTAAGCAAGGGTCGTCAACGTGTGATCATCCGAGGCCATTTTGTTCCTTTCATTGGTAGGCATTTTTACGTGGGGGGTTCCAAACCAGCGCACAACCATTACTGGCATGAGTGGCTTTTCAACTGGATACACG